GAGCCGGAGGAGATGGACCTGTGCAGTGTCCTCCCCATGCGCTGTCAGTTGCCTTTTTCAACGGCGGAGAGGGAATGCGGGGACTTCCACATGCAAGGTGTCTCCGTCCCGTTACTGGCTCAGAAGTTGTGCTGGCGGTTTCCCACCCCCTCAACACCTGACAAAACCCACCAACCTTTAGCTTCTGGGACCCTCAATCCACTATTGAGGGGAGGCTGTGGTTGTCAGGTTCAGAACAGCTGTGAGACTGGAAAACATCCTCAATCACAACAACAGTGGTTATGAGGCCACAGACCTTAGTTCTCATCTTAATCCACCTTTTAATTCCCATTTGGGTCTAGTCACTCTTCTTTTTTTCACTTTTTTTAAAGTTGCTTATTTCAATGGATGTGAAAGGAGCCTGTGTGTGTGAGTGAAGGGAGGTGAGAGCAGGGAAAACAGGCCACACACGCGCGCGCGCACACACACACACACACACACACACACACACTCGGAGGACTTGCTTGGGGGCCACTGCAGCTGCACCGCAGAGTGGGGACAGTCCTCGTCCCCTTGCAGGGAGCCCTGCTCTGGAAAGGAGGAAGGAAGTGAGCATCTGGGTGGCAGGTGACTCATCCAACTCAGGCTGAGGCGCCCCACCCAGGGACGGCCTGTGAAATGTTCAGATGTTGGGACCCACACGCAAGGTCTTCAGATTTGTTTCACGATGGTTTAAAAACCACAATGTGTGAAGTTCAAAAAGCCTGACGTTTGGTTCTCAAAGCAAGAGGAGAGGGTGTCCAATGGACACTGGACTTTTTTCTTCTTGCAAAGGACTGCAAGAAGAATTTCATAAAATTAAAGTTCTGCATGACTTTGGGAAAGTCACTAGACTTTCTGCACTTACAAGGAGCGGGGACCACAGGGACTTGTCACCTTGCTGTGAGGGTCCGGTGACGTGGAGGGTGTGATGCCTAGCACGGCACGGTTTCACTACCATCTGCGTTGTCACTCTTATTAGGGCTTGGATAGGCCAATTCATTCATGGAGTAGATTCTCAAGGATTTTCTTAAAAAGATGAAACTACAGGGGCGCCTGGGTGGCGCAGTCGGTTAAGCGTCCGACTTCAGCCAGGTCACGATCTCACGGTCCGTGAGTTCGAGCCCCGCGTCAGGCTCTGGGCTGATGGCTCAGAGCCTGGAGCCTGTTTCCGATTCTGTGTCTCCCTCTCTCTCTGCCCCTCCCCCGTTCATGCTCTGTCTCTCTCTGTCCCAAAAATAAATAAAAACGTTGAAAAAAAATTAAAAAAAAAAAAAAGATGAAACTACAGAGTATCATCAGTCTCGATGCAGATTAATGTTCTGTTTATTGTTGCAAACTGAACTTAGATGTTTTCACCCACCAGGTCTGGGAGAGCTGGGTGCTGAGTCCCCACAACTGCCCCCCGGGCCCAGAACCCCACTCTGGGCTGAGCGCCAGCTGCCTAAGCAAGAAGACCAGTGTCTGGCTGCCCGCGGGTCCTGGGACCTACTCCCCACCCTCCACGCCCTCAGCTCCAGAGGGGCGATCAGCCCTGGATGGGAGAAGTTTCCCCTTCCAGCCCCAGAGCCTCACAGCCCAGCTGCATGCCGGTACCCTCACCTGCAATGTGGGGGGACAGAGGAGAGGCAGGACTTTCGGGTACAGCACTGGACCTAGAGTGAACAGAGGGGGCACCCCTCCTGCTCGGACACTCGTTGGTCCTGGCCCAGCCACTCCTGCAACCTTCCTTAAGTCTCTTCACCATCAAGCACGAGGTGGAATGGGAGGGGAGGAAGCCAGTTAGCGGTGGGGGGAGGGGGGGCTTTCAGACTGAGCTTCACAGCACCCGTGTGCTGGTAAGTGCCTGACATCCCGCTGGAAATGAAAGGGGGGGGGAGTGTGTAGCGTTTGCCAATTTCCATGGCGCAAACGTTCCACGGTGGGAAGACGTGCAAACAGCTGCCATCCGGTAGTATTTCCACCACATAACAGGCATTCGCAGCCTCCAGAGCACGGTGCGTGTAATTTTATAACCTAATTTAACTTTTTCAAAGTGTTTATCTATTTTTGAGAGAGAGAGCACAAGTGAGAGGGAGAGAACCCCAGGCAGGCTCTGCGCTGTCAGTGCCCAGCCTGTTGTGGGGCTCGACCCCCTAAGCAAACCGCGAGATCACGACCTGAGCCAAAATCAAGAGTCATTTCACTGACTGAGCCACCATGTGCCCTACATAATTTCATTTCTTAAAAATGTTGATTTATCTTTGAGAGAGAGAGAGAACGTGAGTAGGGGAGGAGCAGAGAGGGAGGGAGACAGAGGATCTGAAGTGGGCTCTGAGCTGTCAGCACAGAGCCTGATGAGGGGCTTGAACTCATGAACTGGGAGATCGTGACCCGAGCTGAAGTCAGATGCTTAAACGTCTGGGCCCCCCAGGTGCCCCATAATTTCATTTTTAATAATGATTCTGTTCAACAACCAGCTGGCAAAACTCTTGAAAATTTAACGGTTGGATCTTGTGAACTGGTATCTGTAGCACACCAGTAGCTCACTGCCTAATCAAGGATCCTGAAACCAATTAAAAATCAAATAAACAAGATTAGTTTCACTGAATCTGGAATAGAATGTAAAATTGTAGAAGATATTATGTCTGGTCACAATAGGTATTGTCACATAAAGTTTGTGTGAGTACATCAGGTCTTGACCTAATATGTATTTACTTACTTTTAATAAGAAGTTTGGCATTTCTGGAATCGGGACCTCCGGCTGCCTTGCCATCAATGTTGGTCTGAGAGTGACTCCCAGGAGGGCCACCCCATCCATCAGTGTAAGAGAGGGACTGGGGCGGTTGAGCTTCTGAATGTCGGCCTGTCCCTCCACGGCAGGCGGGGCAAACGAGCCTCTGAGAGATGAAGGAAATTCTGGAAAAGGAAGGGATCCAGCAGGAACCATGTTTGTCTTCAGATGGGCATCGGGTCTCCTGAGGTCACGCCAGAAGGCAGCGTCTGCAAGCGAGGATTGTCCCCTCTTGACAAGGAGGGCACAGTTTCCTCAGGTGCAGGTGGTAAACATGAGGTCACACCCTTCCTGTGGGTAGCCCGAGATCAGCCTCCCCGCAGGAGAGGATGTAAGCCCAGGTAGGGCTGTAGCAGGAGCCTTAGGGGACGGTCGACACGTTGGTATCTACTGCCATATTGTCTTTCCTCAGTTTTTTTTTTTTTTTAATTTTGAGATACCTGTAGATTCAAATGCATTGTAGACAACAAGGCAAAGATCCTCTGTGCTCTTCACCACCAGTCCAGCGGTGACACCTTCCAGGATGGCAGTGACTGCATATAAGGCCCCAGCCAGAAGACTGCATGGTCCCATGCACCTGCTGTGCACAGAGGGCACGCTGTACATGCACTCGTGTGCGTGCAGATCTGTGCGATTCCAGCACATGTGCAGATTCCCGTGGCCACCAAGGCTGACAAGACACAGACCCTTTCTGTCCCACAGGGTCCCTCCTCCCGTTGTCTGTTCTCCATCTCTGCAGCTTGTCCCTGAACAGTGCTGTAAGTGGAATTGTAGGGTGTGTGTGACAGGCTCTCCTTGCAGCCTTGAGGTCCACCCAGGTTGTCATTTGTATCAGCAGTTTGTTCCTTTTTGTTGCTGAGTTGAGCTTGTTCAGCATCCTCCCTGTCGGGGGACAGGTTGGAGGTTGTTTCTGGGTTCTGCCTATCGCACATAGGCTTTGTGTGCATGCCTTTGGAAGGAGGTTTTCTTCCTGCAGAGGAACGTGAGCTCACCATCACCTCTGGTCGCCAGAAGCCACGCTCTACACTGGCCTCAAGCACACCCCAGAGGAGGGCAGAGGGCTCTTGCTCTGTGCTCAGAAGGGGGTGGGGGCCTAGAGGGGCAGCTGACATCCTGCTGAGGAAACCCGCAGGGACCCATATCCTGAGACCCCAGAACGAAAGCTGAGTTGTGCTTCTCACCGGCTCCTGCCGTGGTTGGGGGGCAGCTGGCATCTACCAGGTGCTCAGGGGGTTTGCAGCATCAGCAGGGCAGGGAGGAAAGAGCCCCACCCTTGCCCGCAGGGAGTACGTTGAAAAAGCCACCAGGAACTGGCGGTGTCTGGCTTGACTGTGGTCCCATCCCCCCCATGCCACTGGTGGTCCCAGAGCCCTGTGCACTGGTGTTGTTATGCCCACTTTACAAACACACTTGGAGATCATCGTGGGGAATGGTTATGTTCACATCGCATTATCTGGCAGGAATAGAAAATCAGTGGCCTGTCACAGTCCATAGATGTGGAGAAGCAGTGTTAGTCCCTCACATTGTGCCCAAAGGTAAACGAAATGTTCCCATGCCCACAGAGACCGCGTCTGTTCCCGAGCCCCCGGCTTCGTCTTTCTTCCTCTCTGTGGTCGCTGGCCTCCCATGACATGCACTCTGGCAGATCTCCTTCTCAGCAGTTGCGACCATCCATTCCCTTTGGTGCCTTGGAGGCATGAGGGCAGTGCCTGGGGCGGGGCCGTCCCGAGGGGGCTCTTCGGTTCCCAGACACCCCACCACAGCTTCAAAGGTAGTTTTCCGAGTTTTCTGTGCAGTGCTGCTGTTGTGTCTACACCTCAGAGACTGTGCCTACTTCTAGGATTTTCTCCTCTGTTTCTCTTTTTTTCCATTTTGTTCCAAACTGAACTAAGTGCAGCCGGAGTGAAAGCTGTCAGTGGCAGTCACTACATAGGAAGTTCAAGGGCCCTGAGGTTAGGGGTGTGTGTTGTTTTCTGGTGTTCCCGCAGGGCCTGGCAGGTTCTGGACACGTGCTAGGTGCTCAATAAAGGTTTGCTAAATAAATGAACTGCTAAACACAAGAGATGTGCATTTAAACAAGTTATATGCATATAAATACTAATAAAACCTTGAAGGAAATAAAGAGAAATAAAAACACTTGTGTTGTAATGATGGGCACACACATACATTTTTACCCTTTGAAAGTTTTTACTGTTATGTTGGGTCTAACGTTTTACAGAAGGAACAGGTCTTCCTGGCCACTGATGAATCAATTTGCTGGGTTGTAACGGTGTTGAGGAACAGGGTAGGACTTGCTGGTGCACTTGTGTTTGGCCTCTGTGTCTGGATCCCTGCAGGAAGCACCTGTGGGGCAGAGGGTTTTCTAGAGTTCTGGGCTCTCTCTCCTGTGGAGCTTGCGCTGTGATTCTGTTGAATACTGAGAGTCACGATGGTCTTAACAGCACATGCCCATCTCAAATGGTGTGAATTAGGGGCCCTCCTCCTTTTAACTTTTTCTGGGGTAATTTGATGGAGATTTTAAAAGGAAAAAAATACATATATTCCTGCCATAGCTAATGAGACAAGATTTGGAGTCTAATTAGTTGCTGATTTCAGGGGGTGTCTTCAAAAAGTACTTTGATATTTGACTAATTCGGGTCAAAAATAGCAAATTAAACTTTATTATGATAAAAAGTTATTTTGAGCAAATATTTTCATAATAAGAAATCAAGACATTACACAAATCTATTTAATGGGTAAATCCACTGGACATCTGGGGTTGTATTTTATTATTAACTCAAATTCACAGATGATTGAATTGATATTGATTACTATTGCATTGGTATTAATAAAATAGCATACCATGTAAACTTTATTTTTTAAGTTGTTATTTAGATTTTAGTTAACATACAGTGTAATACTATTTTCAGGTGTACAATATGGTGATTCAACACTTCTGTACATTACAACAGGTGTACCCCTTAACACACATCACCTATCTCACCCATACCACACCCCGCCTGCACCACCACCTCCCCTCTGGTGACCTTCAGTTCATTCTCTAGAGTTAAGAGTCTGTTTCTTGGGGGTCCCTGGGGGCTCAGTCAGTTAAGCATCTGACTTCGGCTCAGGTCATGATCTCGTGGTTCATGGGTTTAAGCCCCGCATCGGATTCCGAGCTGACAGCTCAGAGCCTGGAGCTTGCTTTGGACTTTGTGTCTCCCTCTCTCTCTGCCCCTCCCGTGCTTATGCTCTGTCTCTGTCTCTTTCTTTCAAAAACAAATAAATGTTAAAAAAAAAAAAAAGAGTCTGTTTCTGGGTTTATCTCTCTCTCTCTTTTCCCTTCAATCATTTGTTTTGTTTCTTAAATTCCACATATGAGTGAAGTCATATGATATTTGTCTCTCTGAATGACTTATTTCACTTAGCATAATGCCCTCTAGCTCTATCCATGTCATTGCAAATGGCAAGATCTCATTCCTTTTTATGGCTGAGTAATATTCCATCGTGCGTGTAAATAGATAGATAGATAGATAGATAGATAGGTATGCTACATTTTCTTTCTCTATTCATCAGTCAGTGGACACTTGGGCTGTTTCTGTAATTTGGTTACTGTAGATTGCACTGCTATAAACATCCAGTGCATGTATCCCTTTGAATTAGTGTTTTTGCATTCTTTGGGCAAATACCCAGTAGTGCGACTATTGGATCACAGGGTAGTTCTAGTTTTAACTTTTTGAGGACGCTGCATACTGTTTTCCAGAGTGACTGCACCGGTTTGCATTCCCACCAGCTGTGTAGGAGGGATACCCTTTCTCTGCATCCTCACCAACATCTGGTGCTTCCTGTGCTGTGGATTTTACCATACACGCTTCATTAAGGTTTTTATTAGCAAGGGTAGGGCAGGCTTGGGCTACCTGATTCCCAGATCTTACCGGCTTTACCTGAGGGAACTTTCACACTTGTCACTTTCACAGCCGTAGATCCCAGTGGCCCTCCAGTAGTGACTTAGGGATCCAGGCTGCCTCTGTCTATCTCTGAGTTTCAAAATGAGGCCTCTCATTTGCCACAGCAGGAGGAGAGCCTGAAAAATATCCCAGTGGGTTTTCCCAGCTCTCAGCCAGATGTGACATCCCTTCCCTCCCCTCATCAGGCACACAGTTGCTTGTTGAGGCATGAGCAGGGTAGGCGGTGTGGCCCCTCATGCTGCCCGGAAAAGCTATGGCTATGCACCACCAAGGCCTCCAGTGTGGCCTCTTGGTCCACTTGCGTCCGGAGCACGGGCCTCCTTTCTACCAGCAGCACATCTGGGCTTCGAGTGTCCACAAGGAACCTGAGTGTAGATGTGTCCCCGCATGCCTCTGTGCTCTGTGTGGCCCAAACAGCATCATCCAAAGGTGTGTGGTGTCATGTCTCATAGACACTTGGGCCACGAGGGAGCTGAGCTCCTTAACTCCCAAGAGCTGGATGAATCTTCTCAGAAAGCTATGAGTTAACATCATGTTCCTAAAGTTTTCGTGAGACAATAGGAGATTCCAGTACATTTATCCAACAAATACCAGTTGAGTTTTTACTCTGCGCCAGGTGCTGAAGTGAGCGTGTTGCAAAGGTTACTTAGTCATTTGAGATTGAAAGTATCCTTCCCCAAGGTGCTGAATGTCCCTTATGAAAACAATTCCTTACATTGCTTAGTTGGTTAAAATAGCCTTTTCTGGAAAACTAATACACTTCTGTGTATTAAATAATAGAACTTGTATAAAATGCCATATTTCCATATTTCTGTTTTCACCTTGAAAACCAGGAAACTGAGAGCAGAGCTGTGAACTCTTTGCAGTAGCTGTTTTCACTGTAGATGTTTGATACAATAGTTTCTTCCTTCATTACTTTTTTTGGACCCTTTAAAAATTATTCTAGGGGCGCCTGGGTGGCTCTGTCTGTTAAGTGTCTGACTTCGGCTCAGGTCATGATCTTGCAGTTCGTGGGTTCGAGCCCTGCATCGGGCTCTGTGCTGACAGCTCACAGCCTGGAGCCTGCTTCTGGTTCTGTGTCTTCCTCTCTCTCTGCCCCTCCCCTGCTTGTGCTCTGTCTCTCTCAAAAATAAATAAAAACCTTTAAAAATAATAAAAATTATTCTATTATATACTAGTCACTTATTTTATGCCACTTTGAAAGTCTATTGATCAGATATGATTAATAAATGATCTAATTATGCTGTCTTAGCAATTCATAAATACCTGTTGATAGACTGATACTTTTCAAGAAATATTTTTTTGCGGAGTGTCACAAAAGAGGGTCTATCAAAGAGGGAAAAATTTAACAGTGAGTAATAAACAAAAGAGATTATAGATACTTTCAACAAAGTCTCATCTTTTCCTTTAATCCCCCAATATTTTCCTGTTTCTTATCATCATAAGCTCTAAGGGAACTGAGTTTAATTTGGAAAACTAGCGATCAATTCCTTTGCGCAGAACACAGTTTTGAGAAGACAGGGTACTTGCACAGTTCTGTGGATGCTGGGCTTTGTTAAGGAAGGGATCCTGGAAGTATGCTGTGCTGGTCTCCGTGGTTTGTAGAGGGAAAGAGAGGCCCATAGTCGTGGACCTCTTGCCTCACTGATGTGGGGAGGCCCTGAATCTTCGCAAATTTACTTCCTGTCCTCTGAGCACGTGTGTCTTAGACCACACATGTCTTACCAAAGCCTCCAATGAACTGCCAACTTCTTGCTCATCTGGCCCAATTAAAATGATGTCATTAATATAGTGAGCCAATTAACATTCTGAATCCTGCCCAGATGGTCCAGGTCTCTTTGGACTGTTTTATAACAGAGGGCAGGGAAGCCTAGCAGTGGGGCAGGTTGTAAGTGTGCATTAGTCCATGCCACATGATGTAAATTGCTTCCGATTCTCTTTCTTCTTCAGGATGGAGAAGAGTGGACATGTCAGCTCCACGGCCAGAGGCTGTGCTGACGTGGCCTGGCAGTGGCACCACCTTTGGTACAGTGGCTGCAATTGGGACTACTGCATGGTTGAGCTTGTGTGGTCCACTGTCACCCTCCTGAATCTGTCTGGAGTCATAGGTGGGACTGGTGAGTTACATGACTTTTCCGGTCTTTAAGGGGAGTCTTCATCCCAATCTTCCCTAGGATGTGTTATGGTTTTTATTTTCCATCCTGGCACCCCACTTGGCCCTCCCTGCTGGGGTGACTCTTAGCCCCAACACCAAGGAACCAATATGGGTTTTCTGACAACTGTAACGTGTGTCTATGCCAATTTTACCTTCAGTGCCAGAGAAAATAAATGGTCACTAGGTGGGTCCCTGGATCCAGTGGGCCTACTGTGAGCCTTCCCCGGGCCAGGCCTCTATTTACTTCCTGGACCTCACAAGTCCTATTCTAACAGGGGCATGATGACATCTTGGTTCACTGGGTATCATGTCGATTCAGACTCAAAGCCCAATTGCCCTTGAAATGTCTGGATAAATGGCCACAGCTGCCATTGGGGGAAGTCCTAAGGGAACCCTTATGCATATGTGTGGCCAAGTCCTCTCCTCCAGTCAGGGGGTTCTGGAGATGAGAACTGGTTCACAGGTTTTATTGGGGCAAATTCCTTCAGCCTCCTCATACCTATCTTTGATTTCCTTTGGTTGCAAGAACGGAGCAGTACCCCGCTGGCTGGCTAAGTGCCCTCCTGACACCACATCTAGCTGACCACCTTGTAGCTCTTTGCAGTTCAGAGTGCACAGCCACCACTCCAGTCCTGCTGCTCAGTATAATATAGCAACTGGCTTGCTTCTAGTGGGTAGACATCACTGCTCGCCCTCCATCACTGTGTGATCATGGTCACTGCTGTCAGGGAGCCCAGTGTTCTCTGTAGCAGCATCTGGACTCCCCGACCAGTCCTAGAATGCCAGCTACCGCTCAGGGTCTCATCTGCACACTCCTTTCTGTAAATGGAGTGTCCTCTAGGCTTTCCAGGAAACCTAGCCCACAACTAGGTTTCCGGGTCTTAGGGAATGTGTTTACTCTCCTGTGCCACTTGTCTGAGCATTTTGATGCTTTTCTCCATTGTCTGCCATGGTGTTTGGCATTTCCACTTAGTGTGGGGCACCACTTTGTATAAGCTTCCAAAGGCCACGCTAGTGGCATGGGGTACTTGCTAAGGTGCCAAATCCTGTATCATGATGGAAGGATCCCATATCAATGAACTCTAACCTGATCTACGTTCTTGTCCTGCCTGCCGGAATCCAATATTCTCTGGATCCGGTTCTGTGGATTTTCTCAGTCCCTAGGCACATGTTTCCTAGGTCGTGAGGCTCCCTGGCAGATAGGACCTTCTTCGTCAGGCCTGGCGCTTCTCCAGCTGGGTGATGGTGACATGGTGGAGGAGTGGAGCTGCAGGCTGATCACGGGGTGTACTACTCTCTCAGAGGTCTCTGAAATCATCTTCAACCACAGAGAGAGCACCGCTGTCTAACACGCAGAAATGGGACACGTCTTCAGGTCCAGTAGATTTAGGGACATCTAGGATTCAAGATTTTTGAGCGCATTAATCTGGATGATCCCCTCCCAAGCCTCAGGGTCTCCCTTCTTCCCGCCCCCCGCCCCCCCCCGTGCCCCTGCAGGGTCCAACCCCATGCTCTGCCTGGCTCCCCCCCAGTCCCCCCAGTCCTGTGCCCACCCCCAGCCCGGCATCCTCTCATCCTGCGCCCCTCGCCCCTCGCCCCACGCCCAGTCCTTTACCCCACGCCCCCGCCGGTTTCACATCCCCCGACCAGCTCCCCCCCTTCCTCTCCTCGCCCCGCCCGGTTCCCCCTCCATTCCGCGCCCCCCCTTCCCCCCACCGCCGCGGGGTCCCTTCCTATCCCTCCCAGAGACCGACCCCGCCCCTCTCCGAGCCTTGGCCAATGTGGAGGTGGGGCTGTTTTGCGGGCGGAGCCGTCTCGCTCCCGCCTCCTAGGCCTCAGCCAGTGGGCAGTTGGAGTCGCGCTGTGGGCGGAACCTTCACGCCCCGCCCCTCTGCGGCCGCGGCCAATGGGGAGCTGGGCAGGCCGGTGGGCGGAGCCGGCCGGCGGTGGCGCCGCGGACCCGGCGCGCGCGGGGTCTGGCGCAGAGCGCGGGGACTGCGCCGCCGCTCGGGCTCCGGCTGCTCCGCGGGGCTCGGCGCGCGAATTCCGGCGAGGCCCCGCGAGCTCCCGGGCGGGCGACCCAGCATGGCGGTGGAGGAGGAAGGGCTCCGGGTCTTTCAGAGCGTGAAGATCAAGATCGGTGAGCGCCGGGGGCGGCGGGGCGCCGCGCGTCCCCTCCCCCCGAGGACGGGCCGGGCTGCGGCGGCTCCGCGGGAAGCGGCTCCCTGGAGGCGCGGTTCGGGGTGGGGGGCGGTGCGGTGCAGGACACAGGGCCCGTCCCCGCCTGGAGCGTGCGCGAGTGGGGGCCCTGGGTGCGTGCATGGCCGGGGGCCGACCAGCCGACCTCAGGTTCCGCATCTGCCCTCCGCTGCTGCACCCAGAAACTTCCTTCCCCGTGTTCCCTCAGGGCCGTGGGGCCGGCTGGGGCTGCGGACTGGTGCGGGCGTGCGCGTCCGTGTAGGCGGATGTGTGTGGCGTGCCCTCGGTCCTGGGCTCCGTCGGGCTGGGAGACGGGGAGCCACCCCAGCACCCCCCCTTCCATTGAGAACTGGCCGGGGCGGGGCGGGGGGGGGGGGAAGCTTTTGGCCACCAGCGCCTGCCATTCAGGCTGTGTCACCGGGGAGGATTCTGCCCTTGTCACTGGGTCCATGAGCTGGGGGAGGGAAATGACAGGCGGATTCTGGAGTGGGCTGGAGGGCTATATCTGGACTTCCTGGGTTTATCTGGAGGATTCATTTTATCTCGGGAGGGTGATGTGCACGTCCCCTTCCCCTCCCCCCCAAAACAAGATCCTTGCCTCCGAGTGACCGTTAGACGTTGGTGCCATAAATGTGCGGCTGGGAGGGCAGCTTATGTTGAAGAGGGTTCCCGAGGACCCAGAGTGTCGCCTGTCCTCAGGTCCTTCTTGCCTCCACAGTCCCTTCTATTCCCATGTGAAAAGGGGCCGCTGGGAACCCAGCCAGGCGCCCAGTGACTGAGTGTCAGTTGTTGATGACATTCGATGCTGCCTGAGGAATTCCAGCTCCCCCAAATCAGCGTGTTGTTTCCTGTCTGCTTTATTTTGGTTTATGGATCGTCACTGAGACACTGTTGATATTTGGCTGAGAAGCGGACTTACGCTGCCTGCAACCATTTCCCTGTTCGCTTGTTTGGGATCTGCTGTCACTTTCGCACTGAGAGATTCAGCATTACCCTCCCGCTGACGTGGGGGCAGGGAGGGTGCCTGTACCAGGGTCCTTCGGCCAAGAACCCTCATCAGTTCCTGGGTCCACTGAGCTGTGTGAGGGTTTGAAGTGCTTCCTTAATCAAGGGGAGCAGGAGGGGACCTGGGTGGGGGTCTGTCTGTGGAGGAGTGTGCCAGGCTTCCGGGCACAGCAGGCAGGAGTGGGTCTGAGGACTTTATGGTTCAGGCCTGGCACAGCCAGTCTCAGACTCATCCTGGGAGCGTTCTGGAACACTGGTGTGTTGAGCGGAGAGGTTGATTTCTCTCCAGAGTGGCACAGTATGTGAGTCAGGAGAGTGAGGAGAGACACCTGAAGATCCAGGAGAGCATCTCCACTAGCCTGCCGGTGCACGTTCGTGAGTGGGCTCTGGACTGGACAAGGAGGGGCCTGGGGTGGAAGGAAAGGGCTTTGAAGATGCTGCTTGGCGAGGCTTTCTGTCCTTTCTGTTCCACTTTAAACAAGCAAGAGAAACACACCCAGCTCAGCTGAGGTTAGTGCCACGACCCGGCCCATCTGCCGTGTCTACCCCCACGTGGGACCCTTTGGGGCCCTCCCTCCCCATGTTTGGGGGCGGGGGCTGGGCTGCAAGGGGGAGACATCTGTGTCTCACCTTTGTAGTTGGGGGGGGGGCATTCAGGGAGCAGGGGCCTCCACCTAGCACAGGCAGGGCAGCCTCCTGTGTCTGAGCATAGAAATGGCCTAGGCTGTGCTTCTGAGTTCGGGCCTGGGCTGGAGACCCTGAAGGTGAACTGTGGGTGTGCTGGCTTGAACTTGAGGGACACCTGTTAATAGAATGTGGTGAGGGTGATCCTGAGCTTGGAAGGGGGTGTGCTGAGCTCTTGATTTCTTTCCTTTGTTGGTCTGCTCTGGTCAGTCTCGGCTCTGACTTGCCTGAATGTCCTGGTCTTGAAGGCGCGAGATGACGAGGAACACCACAGTTGATCTGGAGGAGGGGCAGACGTGCATGAATCATACACACGGTCACATGCACGCTCGCCCCTCCTTGTTCGGGGACACGCTGGCCAGGCCGTCCATTCATCTCGGAGCCTCGTCTCCAGGCTGGCTGGCTGCATGCCTGTGTGCTCTTGGCCTGCTGGGTGACCCGGAGCAAGCACCCTCCCCTTCCATAGACTCATTTTTCCATTTGCAAAATGCAGGCAATAGCTGTCGGCTGCATCCGGTGGGGGCTTACAAGACGGTATTGTTCTGGCCCACGTTGATGCCCACCTCCTCGCTCCCAGAAAAGGACAGAAAGAAAATTCCTCCTAAGCTGACACCAACAAGCAGTATCACTGCTCCTGTTGCTGAGAAAAAAGGCAGGACATGTTTGGGAGGATGAAGAGATTTTTAGGTGCCTGGGCCTTGGCCCTCTTGTCTCAAGTAGTTTCGGATTGCGTGATCTCCTCCTCCTGCTTGTCCACCTTCTGCAAATGCCGGATCAGAGTGAGGCATTTGTGTTGTGACTGTTATGAGTTCTTGTCTCCCCCCACTTAAATGTCACAGTCGTTCTGGGTAGTTCTTCTGCACACTTGCAAACCTTAGACCTTGTCCACCTTTGGTAATAGTTGTGACTGTTTTTACACCAGTGGCTCGTGTCGGGTAAGGCCAAGTGCACTTCCTACGAGATGGTAACTTTGAGGAAGTGCACTCTTCTGACTTTCCATGAGTCAGGGCCTTCGTGCTGGAAGGGAGGCTGCTCAGAGATTGTCGGAGCTTGTGCGAAGGACCCACGAGAGCTCTTCAGGGCGGTGTTATTTTGGACACGGTGCTCCTTTAGGTGCTGTGTTATGGTCAATACCCAGTGATTTTTGCCTTTTCCATGGTGGCAGTATACTACTGGTTTTTAAAAGTATCACCTTGATAAATGTGTTAAGAGGGATATACAAAGGTTTTTCTGGCAAGCTGAAAAAAAAAAAAAAATCCCAGCCTGCATTCCGGGGTGAGAAGAGCCCTCGTGCTCTGTCACTGGTTTTCATCATCAGGTTTGATGGCACAGTTTGGATCCACTTGGTGTGTTGGCATTTGTGTCTCATGCCAGCTCCCTGACGCGGGCTCTCCTCCGTTCCCCGGCTCTCCCTTCCTTCTCCTTCGGTCCTCTTGGGCTGCGCCGGGCCCAGGGCGTGCTCTTGTGTTCCTTCTCTGGAAGATTATAACTTGTCCACCAAGAAGTTGATTGTGGTCTGTGTCCAGCGCAAGCACATCAGAACTGACTGCTCCTCCCGCAAACCGTGGCCCTGCAGGCTGTTGGTGCTGGGGACCCGGGGGGGCCCCACAAACCTCGTGCTCTCCCCACAACTGGTCGCCAAACATAATCCCAGGGACCAGAAGCAGGAGGTCCGTCAGGCAGGGACCAAATGAGAGGGGAACAGGAAGTGGTGGCTGAGGGTTCTGGCCTGCACCTCCCTCGGCTGAATGGCTGGTTAGGAGGGGTGTGGTGTGGTGTGGTGAAGAAGGCCCAGACCACAGGGGCTGGAAGCTTAGGGTTCTGGGTCTGCTCTGTTAAATGTGGATTTCCTACAGGGGAAGCAGTAGTGTGCCCATCACAGAGGCCTGTAAGGGTCAGATGAGGTGCTGTCCTGCTTGATAATTTAAAATAGTTGTTGTTAGTGGTAGTGTCTTCACAGGGCTAAGAAGAAATGGTTTTCCCCAATTAGAGAAGCCATTTTGTGGGTATAAGGGAGTGGTATCAGTGATGTTGGCTTTTTCATCGTGTGTGTTTGATGGTGAAAGAAGGGGTCGTGCGGGCCACACATGGTTCTTGGCATCAGGGATTTATATTCTCTTGAGCTCTCTGATGCTAAAATTAACCTGGATATTCTATTAACCGAGCTCAGCTAGCTGCCTGTACTATTTTTAACCCTAAGGACTAGTGTGCCGCTCTGGGCTATGTCTGGGGAGCACCGGGCTCAGGGGCCAAGGGTGAATTTAGTTCGATTCCAAGTTTTACCTGGGAAGGGGTGGGTTTGCCATGCATATGTGTGGGGTGGAGAGGGTTGCAGACTTTTGGGATCTAGTTTACGTGTATTAACTCGTTTTAATTCTCACAACTCCATGACATTGAAGTTGAGGGAGACTCCTGTAACTTGACCAAAGTCACCTAGCCTGTAAGAGAGAGCTGGGGTTTATTTTTTTAATTTAATTTTATTTTTTTTTAAGTTTTTTTTTCAACATTTATTTATTTTTGGGACAGAGAGAGACAGAGCATGAACAGGGGAGGGGCAGAGAGAGAGGGAGACACAGAATCGGAAACAGGCTCCAGGCTCTGAGCCATCAGCCCAGAGCCTGACGCGGGGCTCGAACTCACGGAGTGCGAGATCGTGACCTGGCTGAAGTCGGACGCTTAACCGACTGCGCCACCCAGGCGCCCCGAGAGCTGGGGTTTAAATCTATGTTTGTGTGACGTTCTTGTTCTCCACACCATTTGTTATGGTCTGTCTTTCTGTGTGATCTTGGGTTTGAGTGGTGGGGGTACAGTGAAGTGCTGGGAAGCAGAGCAGTGCTGAGTTTTAGGGCCAGCAGGCAGCTGATGTTCATGAGGTGGGGGGACAGGGCCACAGTCTTTCGTGGGTGATCAGCCAGGGACACCGGCCTGGTTGTTCTGAGACTTGTGGTCATTGACTAGAGGCTGCCGAGGTAG